CAGGCTGGTTTCGAACTCCTGAGCTCAAACAATCCGCCCGCCTCGGCCTCCCAGAGTGCTAGGATTACAGGCGTGAGCCACCGTGCCCGGCCCATTTTAACCATTTTTAAATGTACAGTTCAGTGGCATTAAGCACATTCTCACTGTTGTACTGCTGTCACCACCATCTACCTCCAGAACTTTCTCTTCATCCCAGACTAAAACTCTGCACCCATGAAACACTAACTCCCCATTTCCTCACTCCCCCCTGCCCCTGGTAACCACCATTCTACCTTCTGTGTCTATGAATTTGACTCCTCTTGGTACCTCATATAAGTGGAATCATACAATATTTGTCCTTTTATGTTGGCTTTTTTTTACTTAGTCTTCAAAGTTCATCCATGTTGTGGCATGTGAGAATTTCATTCCTTTCAAGGCTGAATAATAGTCCATCTTTCATATATGCCACATTTTCTTTATCTATTCATCTGCCGATGGACACTGGGATGCTTCCACTTTTTGATTAATGTCAGTAATGTTGCTATGAACATTGGTGTATGGATATCTGTCTTTTTTCATATTCACTTATAGGAGATCTTCTTGAAACTGGCTTTTTCTGCTCTATTATTTGCTGGTTCTCTTATTTTCTAATTCTGAGCATCCTTGAGGCTCAAACTGGTTACAGTGACAGCCTTGAGGGAGCTTCCTCTCTCTTAAGATTTTGTCTACTCCATCATTTTACAGATGGTGAAGTGCAGTCCCAAGGGGGCCCCACAGCAGCTTGGTAGCAAAGTGGGGACTAGAACCTGGGCCCCGTCTGCCTAGTTTTTTGTCTTTTAATGTGTCGGGCCATCTCTATCAATTTCTCCTGGTATCACCTGAAATTTAACTTAATTAGAAAACAAATATATATGTAATTATCATAAAAAACATTATAGTAACAATAATGGAATTCTAAATATATATATACACACACACATACTTGTAATCCTGATATTGCAGTTAACCAGCTTTCCTTTTATATTTTCCTTTCAGTGTAATATTTGACATTCTGGTTTTTTCCATGATAATATAAGCTTTTTTACATGTTGCCATGTAGCCTTTATATTTAAGAAAAATTTTAACCTTTTTGAAAACAGACCCTGCTATCTTTTTACCTAAACTTTCTGTCCCTCCCAATCCTGATAGTTTTTTCTCCACTTCTAGCTCATTTCTAAATCATTTTATTTTATTTTTATTTATTTATTTTTTTTGGAGACAGGGTCTCACTCTGTCACCCAGGCTGGAGTGCAGTGGCGTCATCACAGCTCACTGCAGCCCTGAACTCCCGGCCTCAAGTCATCCTCCTGCCTAGGCCTTCCAAAGTGCTGGGATTACTGTCAGCCACCATGCCAGGCCAAAATCATTTTAAAAACTTAAACATTTTTTTTTCTTAACTCAGACCTTTTTTTTCTTAACTCGGAATATATATAATGTAGAAAATGAACATCTCCTGTAATTCCATCCCACAGAGATGACCATAATTAACAATTTAGTATATGTGGCTCCAGATATTTCCCTTAATTTTCTTTCTCAGTATATTGTAGACACCGTTTCTCTTCCATCCCCACCCAAGGTGCTGTCATGTCCTCCTCTCTCTTGATACCATAGCATGGTGAGAGTTATTTTGCCAGCCCACCCCCTCTTGGGCCCACCCCCCCATGTTGCAGCAGTTCGGATTCTCTGACCTATCAACCTGCACTCCATCACACACCCTTAAGCCTGGGATGCAAGGCCTTTGCCACGCCACTGTCCTAATCTTGCATTAAACCCCATCTGAGTCTTTCTCCTATACTTAAGCTTTTTGGTCACCCTCACTGACAAGACTCACCCATCTTAAAATGTCTTTTGTTGCATTCACTGCATTATAGATAACTGATTAATTAATTATTTAGCATTTCCACCAAAGGACTATTTCGAGGTTGGGCTGTATATATTATTGATGGTATTTTTGCATATAGCACACTTGCTTTCAGCAGCTCAGGCTAATTAAATGTGACAGATGCTCTTTGAATGAGTTTAGGCATTTGGTTATAGTTCCATTGTTTTTCCTGGTGGTTTGTGCAGTGTGAAACATTCTTAAAATTCATTGTTAATGATAACAATAGCTATTGTTTTTGGAGCATTTGCAACATGCTGAGTGCTTTGCATGCATTTATAGCAGCCCTGGACAGGTGCTTTTATAATCCCCAGGAAAGAGAGGCTGAGCATCTTGCTCGTGGTTGCACAGCCAGTGAGTGGCTAAACTGGACTCAATTCAGATCTGCCTGACCCTGGTGAATATGCCTAAAGCACCACACTATTTAACCTTTTCCTCCTTTTTCTATTTTAAAGGAATATCAGAAGGTCTTTCCTGACATTCCTGTAGGGTATTCTGGGCATGAAACGGGCATAGCAATATCTGTGGCTGCAGTGGCTCTGGGAGCCAAGGTGTTGGAACGTCACATAACTTTGGACAAGACCTGGAAAGGGAGCGACCACTCAGCCTCGCTGGAGCCTGGAGAACTGGCCGAGCTGGTGCGGTCAGTGCGCCTCGTGGAGAGGGCCATGGGCTCCCCGACCAAGCAGCTGCTGCCCTGTGAGATGGCCTGCAATGAGAAGGTGCGTCCTGCCCAACTCTGCTCGGCTCCGCGGCTGTGAGCGGGGACAAGGTGGGCTGATCTGAGACGACAGTCAGTACCAGCCCTACCTGAGCCAGGCCGATGAGCTGATAAAGGAGTGTGGGTCCAACTCCTCTGAGCTTCTTCAGGCTCGTGTTAGCAGCAGGAGAACTGTGTTACTCGTAACAGCAGTATCTTATGCAGTAGTCACTCGTAGCAGTAGGAGAAATATGTTACCTCAGGGGAACTTTACTGGTTTTTCTGGCCACCTCCTAGGTTATGTTAGACTCTTCCACTAAATCTCTGAAGCCTGTGGCCCCAGTGCTCCTAGACTTCGGGAGATGTGAAGGGGGTGAGCCTTGGGATAGATAGGTCATGCCCAGGGTCCCTTGGAGTAGGTAAGTTCTGAAAAACCTGGGAAACATTTAGGCAAGGGGTTCTGCGAGGCATCGGGAAAAGAGCCTGTGGCATTCCCTAAGCAGGGGAGGCGCTGGACAGACGGCAGTGAGTCATCGCAGGGGGTTGGTGGGTGTTGATGCAGATAAGTATTCCCTGTGCAGCACTGACCTTCAGAGGGAGGGATGTGGAGCCCAAGAAGCACTGCCAGGCACACTGACTGTCAGGGCTTCTTGGAAGAGGTGGCCTGGACCTTCTTGCTGCCCTCTGAGTCACAGAGCCAGGTGTCTTGGGCTGTCAGGCATGTAGACACACCTAATCTGCCGCAGGCTGTCCAGGTCAAGGCAAAGATCAAACACCAGGCATTCGTGGGGAATAGTGTCATCTTTTATTCCAGTGGGGCATACCTACTAATACCCCAAATTAAAGAGGCATATATACCAGGAAATCAAAATAATACTCAAAAGAGATAAACTACTTTATAGAGGAAATGGGGAGAGAATCACACGAGAAACCAGAATGAGATTTACAGCAGTTGAGCACTTAATTTGGCTCCCTGAGCAAACAGTACACTATAAGACAGACATTTTATCCTGGCACTGAATTCCATGTAGAATTGATTCCTTGGGCTCTCACGTGCAAGATGTGGAGTAATAAAGTAGATAATTTGTTTGAAAGCATTTGTGGAGAAGAGAGAAACATGGGTCGTGAGCGTCAGGCACCCTTCATTCCCCTCACCTGCCTGTCCTATCTGTCCTTCCTGGGGAGCCCTCTTTCCTGTCACACTCACAGTCTTGTGAGCCCTCCATACTCCTATTTTACCAAACCGAGTGGCAGTAAGGTTTGTGTCCCCCAAGAGCAGTGGAGTGGGAGTCAGGAATCTCATCCTCTAGGTTCTCATCCTGTTTGCAACTTTGGCCAAGTCACCATCTTCGTGGGCCTCAGTTTCCCCATGTTTACAGTGAGATGTTGAGCTAGGTGGTGACAAAAGGAATCATAGTTTCCACGTATGTTCCAGGTACGTTACATATTATCACTGATCCTTACAGTCATCTGGCAAGATACAGGCACCGTTATTTCCCATTTTACAGGGAAACTAAACACGGCTTATCCCCAGCTCCCAGGGGGAGCTCACTGGGATTTGAACCTGCCTGTCTACATAGCCCGAGCCCTTTCCTTTGCACTTTATTCTAAAGGCCCCTCCTCTGAGTCTCTGGATTCACCCCACACTGACCGAATCCCTGCTGTGTATGAGATGTTGTTTTGGGCGGTGTGGGGGACAACAGAGTCCCCGCTCCCAAGGTACCTTGTGAAGACAGGTCAGGGACCTTGGGTGTAAAGCGATGTGCACCAGTTATTTCTCTGAAGCTGGCACTGAGTCTTAATTTTGTCCACAGCTGGGCAAGTCTGTGGTGGCCAAAGTGAAAATTCCGGAAGGCACCGTTCTAACGCTGGACATGCTCACTGTGAAGGTGGGTGAGCCCAAAGGCTATCCTCCCGAAGACATCTTTAATCTCGTGGGCAAGAAGGTCCTGGTCACTGTTGAAGAAGATGACACCATCATGGAAGAATCGGTAGAAAATCATGGCAAAAAAATCAAGTCTTAAATAAAGTGCCATTCTCTGAATTCTCAGTTGCCTTGCTGGTGCCATCGGGTGGGTGAGTTGGGGCAGGAGTGGTGGTCTCCAGGGACCTGGCGTTCATCCACCACCACCAGCCCCTCCTTACACAGCAGATATTTCTGGGCCAGGCCCTGTGTCAAGCGCATTGGAGAGATAAGAGGAGGAAATGAGGCAGTCTCTGCTTCAAGGTGGCTGGCACAGAAGGGGAGGTGGGCTCAAGAGCAAGTCCATGTCCTCCAGGTGCTGCGTGCCTGCACAGAGAGGCAAGAAACGGCCGCTCGGGTCCTCTCCGTTAAGCCTTCATTCCCATGCCCTGTGATGCCAAACAGATCTCACTTCCTGACACCCTGCCTTACTCCTCCATTGCCATTACCGCTTCCTGCCCTTGGGCTCTGTGTCCAGTTAGTATCGTATGGTGGTCACTCTGCACTGGAGGAGGGATTGGTCAAAGGATCTTACAGGCAGAGAAATGCAGAAAGCATTCCTATCTCTGTGAACAAAGAGAGGGAAATGGTTCTTTCTTTCAACAAATTTTGAAGCCTACTATGTGCCTCAGTGCTTTAGGCACTGAGGATACGGTGGTGTCCCATCCCTTCCTCAGGGAATCTGCATTCAGAGATGGGGCAGATGCACAGTAAACCGTAAGCATAGTGAGCAGTCACACGGGATATGTGCTGAAATCAGCCCTTCTACAGCAACAAAATTTTATGTCACATATTATAAAATTACAAACCCAGCTAACAAAAAAGCTTGTTTTACTTCCTTGAACAAAAAGCATGAACATTTTATAGAGATTCAGTGTCATATTCCTCTGTTGTTTTGAACAAGTACTGAGATTAATAATTCTTTTCAAATGTATTTTCAAATTCTTAATCTTTCACATTTATTTTACCTTGTTTACTATATAACTATATAACTCCTCTTGTTTCAAAGTGTGTATTTGAGGCTCTTTTCACATGCGTATAATTTGACTTTTGAAGCTTCTTTACCTGTGAGTATAAGGCCTCCCTCTCCTGTGGATCCCAAAACAATTTCTAGAACGGCATGTGTGTCTGGATGGGTGGGTAGGTGGGAATCTTGTGTGTACTTGTGTAAAAGAGAAACTGTAAAATTGATGTGCTATGAACTGAAGTGTAATAGTATCAATTTCTGGCTGGTGTTCACCCCTTTTAATTTTCCCCTGTAAGCAGATGTTGAGTAAATTGATTTCTGATTCCATGGCCTTTTTTTCTACAACAGTAGAGGTGACATTTAAGCAAATATCCGAGATTTCCTAACAAGAAACGACAGAATATGGTAGTAGAGGGGTATGTTCCAGGACTTGGAAACAGGATATGGACCTGGAAGGAAGGGAGAGAAGGGCCTGGCCTAGCATCTGGCCAAGAACGTGCAGGAGGCGGTTCCCAACAGGGAACCAGAGGGTCACCTCCAGGTCTGGACAGACGGGAACATCAGAAGGGCCCAAGGTGCTCTTTAAACCCCGGCCAGATTCCCCGAGTGGAGGAATCTGAGGCTGAGAGTTGGAAGAGCCCCTGCAGTGTCAGGACTTAACTCTGCCTTTTGAGTAGAGGCCTGTGTGATGTGTTAAGAGAGAATTGAGCAGGAGGGCCGCTGTCCAGACCAGCTTAGAGAAAATGACAGCATGTGTGATACGTGTGGGGAATTACGGGCTTGCTTGCAGCCAGTAGCGGCTGGCCACCTCATGCTGTGCCAGGTTGCCCATAGGGCTGAAGGATTGATATTGGGGCACACTTCTAGCCCATTTGAGTTGGGAAGCTTGGGTCTAAAAGACATCCCTGACAGGTGGGAGGCGCAGTCTGGGCACACAGTGAGGCAGCAGGCGGTCCCTGTCTAGGAATTCAAGGCCTTTTGGGTGCAGGCGCCGCCACAAACGGTGCCCCATGTGGGTGAACAGCAGAGATATTTAGCAAGAGTCATAGGAGCCGAGACAGGAGTGGGGATGGGAGAAGGAGCATTGGCCAGGGAACACCACGTGGAACTGGAACAGCTGGCACTTTAGTTCAACCTTGCAGGTTAGGAAGTGACGAGGAATCTTGTGATTTGGGGCACAGGCTTGGAAAATGCCCAGAGTGCCTAAGGACTAGCAAGTGATGGGTTAGCAGGGAGTGCACACATGGGGAGGAAAGGAAGGGAGGGCTTAAAAGCCTGCTCAGTTGGACTTTGTTCTATGGGAAGTGGGGAGCCATGGAAGGTTTCTGAGCAGGACATGGTAGACTCAGACCTGGGCCCTTCACGCTCATGCTTACTCCCCGTCGTGTGCAGCTTGCCATCGTGAGCAAGCTGCCCCTCATCACGTACTGACTCCTCCGCCCACCAGGCCCAGGCAGTGCAGGGCCACCTCTGTGTGCCCTCCACTGGGCTGCACCTCCACTAGGCTGGCATCACGGTCTCCTGCTCCCTGACAAAGTGGAATGGCAGAAACAGAAGAGATTAGATAGAATAGGGAAGGGAAGGTCCCTGAAATCTCTAAAATTTAGGAAGTGACTACAAATGGCTTCATTGTTGCTAAAGGATGATCACAAAGATGCCAAAAGCTACATAATACTATCTTGGATAGGGATAGCTGGGAGTCAGGGTTTGTTTCCACATAAGCAAGAACTTAGTGAGTTACCTTCAGAAGTAGTGAACTCCTCATCACCAGAGACATCCAACCTGGGACCAGCTGACTACCACCAGAAAGTTGGGGAAGGGATGGGTGATAGCGGGGGCCTGTCCAGGCCTGGGTGCTATGTACTTACTTGAAGCAACATGAACCCCCAATGAAGAAGAGCACGGTTAAAAGAGACAATATTCATGCTTTATTAAACCACGTATTAGAAAATTGCTGTCATTTAAAAATATCTGGAAGCAATTTGTCACATCAATAAAGAATTTTCATCTACAAACTAAAATCTGACAGGGAATAAGGTAAATTGACAGTACTCTATAGACATGGCCCAAGGAAGCTTCATTCCTATGCTGAGAATATTCAGGGAGGTTCCTGCTACTGCCAGGTGGCAGCTGGGAGTATCAGTTGTCTCAGCACTCTGACAGTACAATGGGAACGCCACTGGGGATGCTAACAGATCCTCGCATGATACAGCACTACGGTTTTTAAGGCAAGTCCATAACCTTTGGCCCATTTGAGCCTCACAGCACTGGTAGTTAGTGTCCTTACCCCCGTTTTACAAATGACACCGACAAATAAAAAGTGACTAGCCTGAGGTCACACAATTGATCATGGACTGAGACTGCAGTTTTCTGGCTAGCACAGGCCTTGGCACAGAGCCAGTTGTCAGCCTGCATAGTCCAGTTCTGTTTCTGCTACATGAGTCCCAAACTCTCAAAACTAGTCCCCCTTTGGGTGTAAGGCCTCATCTCAGGTCCCAAGGAAGGTAATCCAAAGGAACAGTCAAGTCCCACGGAGTGACCAGGCAGAAGCAAAGCATCAGAGGCAGTAACTCAATGAGAGGGGGCCACAGTGAGCACGTGCTGGCCAGAGACCAGCTGTGTCCACCCTGAGCAACAGTGCCTGGTGGACATGAGCACAGACCTAGAGCTCACAGCCTGGGCCCAGACCCCAGCTCCACCACTAGCTGTGTGACCTTGGGCAAGTGACTCATTCTGGGTCTCCATTTTGCCCTCTGGAGGCCTGAGATAACTTTCTACCCCCAAGGGTCAAGTGAGGTTAGCTGTAAAGTGTGAGCACAGCGCACTGCAAGACCATGAGAACTGTCTTATTACTTAGCCCCTGTGGCTGTGGGTTTGGGAACAGGCCTTGGTCTTCAGGGATGGACAGAGATGTGGGGTCAAGTGTATTAACTTCCCTCTGTCAGGAATGTCTTCTGCCCATCACAATTCAGCTTTGGGCCATTTCCAAATTAATTAGAATTTTAATTAGTAGAACTAATTTCCCCTTTTCTCAGGATTTCTGAAGCATAGTACTTAGACACCTACCTAGCTAGAGTTTTAAGTTATTTGGTTAGAAGTAAAGGCACTTTTGAGGTGCCTTGTATTCTTATATTACATTGCCCCGTATGAAAGCACCATTTCTAAGTCAAAAACTATTGAAAATGGACAGTTTTATATGATTCAAACTAATTAACACACTGAGAGTCTGTTTAAACTGTGAGGGGGATTCAGTCTTGTGTTTTCCTCACCCTCCCACTGTCCTCCCACCAAGCACCTAAGAAGATGCTTTAACACAGCGAGACTTCAAAACTGTCTAGGGAATTGACAAATCAGGATGCTGAACCCTCAGAACCAAGGCACAGGCCCTGGGAAGGGGGCCTACCTCTCCCTGCTAAAGGAGCTGCTGGTTCTCTCTTTCTGTCACTTCATTGCAGAAAGCTGGGCTCTCTGGGTTTCCTTGGCAACATCTTGGTCTGAGGGATCTGAGGAGCATGGGGATGTCCGGCTAGGGCTGCCCAAACCGCACTTAACTCGTCTCCTTTTTGTCCCAAGACAGTGGGGAAAACTGCCAGTGGTTGCTTAGCAATAGTCCCTGCTGATTCCTTCCCAACATCCCCTGAGAAATGAGTAAGTAAAATCTCCCAGCTTGAAAGCTGGGCCTGAAAACTGGGCCAAGGGACAGGTCAGACACTTGCCTGGGGGCTGGTGGGTGGGGCACGGGTCTGGGCCGCAGGCCTGGTTCAGCCCTAAATCACAATGGGTAACTTTAAGCAGCTTTCCAGTTCTTTCAGGACCTTAGTCTCCCCCATTGTACAATGAGGTCAGGCCGGATGATCCGTGAAGCCTTCCCAGATCAGCTGTTCTGTGATTCAGTGATAGGCACCTGCTGGTTATGAACTGACTGCTTGGGAGGGAAGGCACTTTCTGGACTGTGCAGGGTGGGGAGGGTGTAGGTGGACATAGCTGCCCTCCAAAAACTTCCAATCAAGTTGGAAAGGTAGGTCCCAAATTTGTAAGGAGAGTGATTCTTGTGGCCTGAGGAAGACTGAGGCAGACAAGGTTTTCCTCTACAAATGTGGGCCCATGCGGCGTGGGCAGGACAGCAGCAAAGGCCAAGATGCAGAGAGAGAACTGTGTGACTCACACTTCTGATTGGAGGGTCTCTGAAGAGCAGCAAGAGCTAGATGAGGGTAAGTGGTCTCGGGCAGACTAGAAAAGCCTTGAATGCTAAGGGAAAGAGCTTGTTTTTTGTTTTTCCATGTAGTCCCTGGGAGCCTCTTCAAATTTCTAAGAGGTTAAGTGAGGTTTTAGATAGATCAGTCTGGGTTTGGCGTGGAAGATGAGGATGGGAGAGGGTTCAGGCCAGGGAGTGTTAAGAAGCTCCGGAGGGAGGTGATGTGGACAAGCTGAAGAAGGTGGAGAGGAGGCAGATCCAAGGGACCTTAAGGGATAGAAGAGCAGGGCCAGGCGACTGTCATTTATTCACACACATTTACTGTGTGCCTACTATGTGCCAGGTTCACGTGCTGTAGGAGGGAGGAGGCTCTCAGGCTGAGCATGACGTATTCAGACAACGTTAGGATGCTTAGGGCTCACCTGTGGCTATGTCACTTTCAGGACCCTGGACTAAAAGTAGTGCAGTGTGACAGTGGCGGTGTCTGTGTGTGGGGAGGTCTGATAAGAGAGCAGCAGCAGGCGTGTGTCTAGGACGTGTTTGAAACTAGCGTGGGAGAGGGACGGGTCACAGCACTGGGCGTGACTTGTGGGGGAGGGCTGGGGTAGACAGAGGGGCTTAGAAAGTAGGAAGTAGAACAGCCACTCTGCTCTAGGTGAGACCAGGTGAGACAAGAGGGCCGGGGAAGGTCACTCAGGCCTTGGCCCCTAAGGCAGCCGAGGGATACTGATGGCCCCTTCCCAGAGCCGCAGGGCCGGGTACAGCGGCTCTTGGAAGGTGGCACGGAAGGTGTGCAGGTGGCTCATGCCACCCGTCACATCGTAGAAGGCGAGGACGCCGGCCTCGTAGTCCAGGAAGATGCCGAGCCGGTCGGGGTCGTCGCGGGGATGCAGGCGGCTGCGCTGGCCGTCGTGGAAGGCCCAGTACTCGAGGTCGTAGCGCTTGAGGCACCAGGACTGGCGGTTGCAGCCCAGGCGGGCGGCGGCCGAGGACCCGTGGCGCCGCAGGGAGGCGTAGGCCGCGCCCACCCACCAGCCGGCGCCCGCCTCCTGCACGTCCACCTCCCAGTAGTGGCGGCCGGCGGCGAAGCAGTCGCGGCCCAGCACCTGCCAGAGCCCGTCGAACCGCAGCGCGGGCGCCGGCCCCAGGCGGCCCAGTAGGCCGCAGCGCACAGTCAGACGGTCTGCGGAGAGGCGCAGGCGCGCGTGCATCGTGTCCGGCTCCAGCGTGGGCGTGCGCGCGTCTGCAGGGGGCGGGGACACGGAGCCACGCCTGGTGGGCGGGGCCAGCGCTGCGCCCCGCCCCCGGGCGCCCACCCTCTTGCTCCCTGCCCTCGCAATCGCCGCGGGGTACAAAACGGGAAGGCTCAGAGTCCGCCAAGGGACAGGTTGAAAGCCAATCCCATTTTACCCCGACTGCCTATGGGGAGGTGGCTAGGGGCAAGGGAAAGAGAGAAAATTCTACCGTACACCCTTTATAACATTTGAATTTTGTACCACGGAATTGCCAATTTCTAAGAATTTAATTGAGAAGCAATCCTGTTACTAACACGGGTGTATGTCCTTCCAATTTTTTTTCCCCTCTTACCTGCCGTTTTATAGTTTTTCCGCAGATTGGTATCATACCATACATACTCTTAGATAATCTGCTTTTTAAAATTTGTTGATACGAACAATTTTAACACATCAAATATTCTTTCACATGAGCATTTTAGTGATGATTCTAAGATTTTGATGTACAGACACATTATAATTTAATCCTCTATTGTTTTGAGTATTTAGGCTTCTTAAAAAGCTTTCGGAAATACTAATAGGATTATATTTTTATGTATCTGATTACTTCTTTAGGGTATATTCCTAAAAGAGGAATTGCTGGGTCAGTGGGTATGATTATTTTAAGGCCTGTGATAAATATTGCCAAATTGTCCTCCAGAAAGTTTGTAGTGATTTAATCTCATCAACATTTCTCTATGCATTATATCATGTATGTAGACATGAAGTTTTGTTGTTTTTTTTAAAGTCTGGATCATAGGGTTATGTAGGACATTCACCTTTAGTAGAAAATGCCAAACAGTTTTCCAAACTGTTTACACTCTCAACAGCAATGTAAGAGAAATTCTTGTTATCCACATATTCGTCAACCTTGGTATGATCAGTTTTTGAAATTTTAGCCATTCTGGTGGGTGTGCAGTGCTGTCTCATGAGGTTTTAATTTGCAGTTTTCTGATGACTGATGTTGTTGAACACCTTTCCATATATATTTTTTTTGAAACA